TTTTATCTTGGCTTCAAAGTAAGTTTGGGGTCAGAAAGGGAGACTGTTTTGGCCCTGGTCCATTTTCATTGTACAACCAACCACTTACAATTGAAGACCTACTGTGTGCAGGCCCTCTGATGGCATGAAGGTATGGAAAGGGTTAAGGGATAGTCCCTGCCACCTGTGGTGCCACAACACAGTGCCACGGGGGTGCACAATGAAGTGCCGTTAAATGTGTCTGTAAAGGGAAAACACTCCTCTTGTATGTTTCTCCTTTACTGTCATACCATAACCACACTCACACTTTGGACACCAGATGTGTGGGTTTGGGGTTTTTTTTTTTTTTTTTCGCTACACCAATCACTTCTCTGTGACACCAGCTGGGATCCTGCCGTCCTATTCAGTTCTTACACTTTCTACCTGGAGTTAGCCGCAGATCCCACAGGTCAAGGGTTCAGTCCCACAAGGCTGCCCCCGTATCAGACGCCAATCACAAGTCCCAGGTTGTCACCAGTACTTCTGACCAACCACCTGTAAATCAGGTTTCCCATGACCCCCTCCTTGGGTTTGATAATTTTCTAAAATGACCCACAGAACTCAGGGAAACACTGACTCCCATTTCTCCAGTTTATTATATAATAAAGGATACAGATGAACACCCAGATGAAGGTACACAGGGAAAGATCTGGAAGGGTCCAAAGCATAGGAGTTTCCCGCCTTGTGGAGCTGGGGAGCACTATCTTTCCACTAATTTGGATGTGTTCACCAACCCAGCAGCTCTCCAAGCCCTATCCTCTGGGGAGCCTATAGAGGTGCCATCACATGGGCATGATCTGTCATTGACTCACTCTCCAGCCCCTCTCCCCTTCCCAGAGGGTTGGGGGTAGGGCTGAGGGTCCCCAGTTTCTAATCATGGCTTTGTCTTTCTGGTGACCAGCCCCCATTTTGAAGCTACTCAGGAGCCTACCAAGAGTTGCCTCATTAGAAAAAAAGACACCCCATCACCCAGGAAATTCCAAGGGATTTGGGAGCTCCGTGTCAGGATCCAGGGTCTAAAACCAAATATTGGACCAAGAGATGGTCCTAGTGCTCTTACCACTTAGGAGATTACAAGGGTTTTAGGTGCTCTGTGCCAGCAACTAGAGGCAGAAAC